GTCCTTAAAGTACTTTTTTGGTTATTTTTCATTAAAGTTCGTTAAAACAAATTCTATTACGAATTAAACCTTTTGCTAATCCCCCAAGAAAATAAAAAAATAAAAAACATCCTTTTTGAAAACGTTGCAATCATGCATGTCCTTTGTCCTAACTTCACATTAAGCAAGTTGTGGCCCACTAATTAAAATTTATTTTTAAAATTTGAGAATTTGAAATCTAACTCATTTTAGTCTAATGATAATGAATACTCTAATTTCTTTTAGGACAATTTTATGTCTATTTTATTTTTTTATAATAATCATAATTTTATTTAGTAAATATATTTTTTTTTTATTATTTCTTAAAATTTTTTGTGGTGGAAAATTAATTTATGCAATCATGATAGTGAAATTACTTTCTTCACAATAATTTTAGAAGCAATTTTATAAAAAATTGTAGCTATTCTAAATAGACCCTTGATATAAAAAGAAATATATAATTTATAAGAATAATGCATATAAGAAAATAATATATCAACATGATATATGTTTTAGTTGGGATGTTAAAAATAAGTTAATTTAACTTGGTATAAAAAAATAATTAAAATTGGATCAAAATATTCTAACCAAAATTTAGGCAAAATGAATTTTAATTTTGAGATTAATATAAAGTATGAATAATCACTGTTCAAAATTAATTTAAAGTTTTGGCAGTTATTCTAACAAATTATAATCTAAATATCCTCACTTAAATCGTATTTTTACAAAAAAAAAAATATTTTTTTAAGTCTTTGTTTTGAATGAGGATTTTTTTTTCTTTTAATTAAGTCTCATACATTCAAACACAGCCAAAATTAATCCTGATAAGAAAATAAAAATTATGAATGAAAAAATAAATTTTATTTTGTTGTATTAATAAGCACCGACCATTTGCAGACTTTTTTTTAAAATAAATTCATAAATAATAATTCTTAAAATAATAACATATAAATATTAGGAAATTTACATACATACCACTTTATAACATCCTATTTACATATCTAAGATTCAAAACTTTAATATTACATGCATACCACCCTATATTATTTTAATATCAAATATACCACTTATATTTCTTTCCTATCACTCATATATTTCATTTTTAACACTCATTTTTATATGAAAATGACTTATAGGTGTTATGTATGTAATATTAAAATTTTAAGTGTTAAATATGTAAATAGAGTAGTATAAAATGATGTATATGTAAATCTCCCATAAATATTTTGTTCCATGGCAATTGGCAATGGCAATTATCAAACTATCTATATATCCGCCGTTATCAATTTCATATTTCTTTTTCTTTGACGCGGCGTTTATCTCTGCTCGCGTTTTTTTCTTCGATCAGCTGTACATTTTATTTAATTTGTTTATTTTATCAATTTTCCAGTTTAATTCATTTAAAGCATCGTTTACCAGTTTTTCAGCTCAACTCGTCTCTTGGCTCCGTTTTACATTTTTCTCTGCACAGGCTCCGTTGGTTTCTTCGCAGATTTGAACGCTTTATCTGGTTCTCCCGATCGCAGAACCGTAAGTTTCCTTTGCCTCTTTCTGAGAGCAGCAAAAGGTGCAACCTTTTTACCCTTTCTTTCTGTTTGATGCCTCTGTGTTTTGATTCCACATATCGGTGATCAGTTCTTTGTTTATTTGCTGCTTCTGATTTTGCTCTTACGGCGAAATCGACACTATTTCTAAGTAGTTGTGGTTGATTGATGGTGGGTTTTAGCAGAAGAGTTTTAATGGGAACTGGTTTGTTTCCTAAGTTGGGGATTTATAAGAAATTTAGGGTTTTTTGCTTTTAAGATTCTTCTTTGTTCTTTGATCTATCTTTAGCTTGATTTCGTTTGCAAAATTCCATCTTTTGGAGACCTTTTTCCGATTAATGGCCAACCGAAAGCTTGGATTTGGCTCTCTTTTCTCTCTCATTCTTATCTTAAACCTAAGAAATTCTGTAGCTGCATTTGTTCCTGCTGATAACTACTTGATAGATTGTGGTTCTTTGACCGATACAAAGGTCGATGACAGAGTATTTGAAGCTGATAGCAGCCGCTCTTGGAGCCTCAATACCCCTAAAGATGTTCTTACCAACATAACTAATCCGAACTCAGTTTCATCATTGACTAGCTCTTCTCTATACCTCAATGCTAGGGTTTTCACCGGCCCTTCCTCCTATTCCTTTCCGATCAAGCAGCAAGGAAGACATTTTATCCGTCTCTATTTCTTCCCCTTTGATAATCAACAATTCAAACTCACCACTTCTCAATTCTCAGTCTCAACCCAAGACAATACTCTTCTTTCCAATTTTCAGCCACGTCCGGATTCGACCACCGCAGTCAAGGAATTCTCAGCAAACATTAATCATGACAATCTGATCCTTAGCTTTATTCCTGGAAGCAATTCTTTTGCATTTGTGAGTGCTCTGGAAGTTGTTTCTGTCCCCAACAACCTTATTTTAGACACTGCCCAGAATGTTAATAATCAGCAAACTTATCAAGGTTTGTCCAATCAAGTATTGGAGACAGTTTATAGGCTGAATATGGGAGGCCCAAAGCTCTTACCAGTCAATGACACCTTATGGAGAACTTGGAATACTGATGGAGTCTATCTAATCAATGCGAATGTAGCTAAGAATGTTTCTTATGCCGGCGATATCAATTATGTGGATGGGGCTACCAGCCCTGAGATTGCTCCTAAGATTGTCTATAGCACAGCAACCGAGTTGGCTTCACAGAGTTCAACCTTGGATGCCCGTGTCAATGTCACATGGATGTTCAAAGCAGATAGCAGCTTCAGCTACTTGGTCAGGATGCACTTCTGTGATATAGTGAGTAAAGCCCTCAACAATCTCTATTTCAGAGCTTATATCAACAGCTGGTCTGCAAGCAATAATATTGATCTATCTACTTTGTCGGCCAATTCGCTACACACTGCTATATTCATGGATTTTGTTGTGGGACTTCCGGCTGAATCAAACAACCTTTCTGTTAGTATTGGTCCTTCTGACTCAGCTGGCATTGCGCCAGATGGAATCCTGAATGGACTTGAGATTATGAAGATAAGCAATTCTGGTCCAGGTGCTGTTGTTGAGGGTAGTTCAAAGAGTAAGATTGGTCCCATACTTGGTGCTGTTTTTGGGGTACTAGCTTTGGTGATTATAGCTGCAGTTGTTTTCTGTTTGTTCAGAAGAAGGAAGAAGGCGAAGAAGCAGCAGTCGAAGACTTGGCTGCCTTTCTCAATTAATGGAGGTACTTCACAAAGTTTGGCAAGTAGAACTTCAAATATAACGACAGCTACTTCTGGGAAGAATGGTAATCTAGGCTACAGATTCTCCTTTGTTGTGCTGCAAGAGGCCACTAATAATTTTGATGAGAACTGGGTGATTGGAGTTGGGGGCTTTGGCAAGGTTTACAAGGGAGTGCTGAGAGATGAGACGAAAGTGGCCGTCAAGCGTGGAAATCCGAAATCACAGCAGGGTCTCAACGAGTTTCGCACTGAAATTGAGTTGCTTTCACGGCTTCGCCATCGTCACCTTGTGTCTCTTATTGGGTACTGTGATGAGCGAAATGAAATGATTCTTGTTTACGAGTATATGGAGAAGGGAACTTTGAAGAGTCATCTGTATGGTTCAGATCTTCCTAACCTCAATTGGGAGCAGAGGCTTGAAATTTGCATTGGGTCAGCAAGAGGGCTTCACTACCTTCACACAGGTTCTGCAAAGGCGATCATTCACCGCGATGTCAAATCTGCAAACATCCTACTTGATGAAAATCTCATGGCAAAGGTTGCTGATTTCGGTCTTTCAAAGACTGGTCCTGAATTGGATCAGACTCATGTGAGCACCGCGGTTAAGGGGAGCTTTGGATATCTTGATCCTGAATACTTCCGCAGGCAGCAGCTAACTGAAAAATCTGATGTTTATTCTTTTGGAGTGGTTTTGCTTGAAGTACTTTGTGCCAGACCAGTTATTGATCCCACCCTCCCCAGAGAAATGGTGAACTTAGCTGAATGGGGCATGAAGTGGCAGAAGAGAGGAGATTTGGATCAAATCATAGATGCTCGTATTGCAGGAACCATAAAGCCTGATTCCCTGCGGAAATTTGCGGAGACTGTCGAAAAATGCCTTGCAGACTTCGGCGTTGAGCGCCCCACAATGGGCGATGTGCTATGGAACTTGGAGTATGCATTGCAACTTCAGGAAGCACAGTCTCCTGATTCTGAAGCGAATAGCATCAATAGGATTGTTGAACTTTCTTCACAGGTTCAGAACATGAATAATCTTGGAACTGTAGCTGAGGGTGGAATAGCTAACAGTAGCTTGAATGATCTTTCTGATGTCTCAATGAGCAGAGTGTTCTCTCAGTTGATTAAGTCAGAAGGCAGGTAAGAGTATTCTGTTATACTACTGAATGCCATGGAGAATTCCAAATTACTTGGTGTTTGCTTAGTGTAAGTATACTATTTGTTTAATTCCTCTTTCAGTATTTGTACTACTTGAGCATGGATGAGTCTGCTATCACTTGATGTGATTTTGTTTTAAAAAGTTCATTGTTGTTACTTTTCTCTAAAGTTTTTCTTGGTAATTGAAGCATGTAGAAGTGCCCAACTTTGAAGAACTGGAAAGGAAATACTGCATATTCTTAGAACAATGTCTCACTTGGATCTGTGATGCAAGCTAGTTTCTCCTCTATGTTTTTCTTTGTCATATTATATTGATTACTGATTATCTGTTCATTTTAATTGCTTGGCTTTTAGCTGTACAATTCCTGGTAAGAATTGGATTATATCCTATTAGTTAAAAGGGATAACCCTCTTTTGTCAGGTTGTTTCAGCAAAACATGGGTGTGATTACAGCTTTGTAGATTTGCATTTTTAGACAAACTTATCTGATTAGTCTTTTATTTATCACTTTAAGTTTGTTGTTAGTTGTGCTAGGAGATTATTGAGGAGTCCAGATGGGAGAACGGTTTAGATTCGTGAGTGTGCACAGTAAAAGCACAATTACCGTACACACATAAAATCCGGACACAGCTCCGGTTCGGACTTCGCATGTAATAATCTCTCTTGTGCGAGTGCTCCCTTCTCAATTCATCACACTACTGAAATATGCAATGCATACATTTATTTGTGTATATTTTGATAATTATATGTTGTATTATTATACTGTGTTTGGGTGATTGCAATTATTTATTAAGATTTCGTTTGTGGTAGTTTTCTTACAACTTGTTTTTTAGATCACAATCACAGTTTTTCTTGGCCTTTATTTTTCCACTGATTTCAGTAATTTTTTGCACGAGGAAGCTATTTTCTATAACATCTTTAAAATAAACTGCTTTCTCCATAGTAATTGCACACTTTTATTAAAAATTATAGCCGTACCTAATGGTTCATAAGTTATAAAATTTTGCGAGAAAAATAATTTTTGTGAAAGTTAATGTGAGCTTTATAAGCATCATTTTAAAAAATAAAAATAAATCAGGTTTCTTACCGTTATCATATTCTACAAATTAGGTTCTTAAAAGCAGTCTGTATCACAGAAAGTTTTGAAAAGCAATTTGTAAATAGTAGTCCAATAAATATGTGACAGCGATCTGGAATAGAATTATTGGTCATAAATTAACGTTTCAAACTATTTGGTTTATAAATTTGTTGCTTGTTAAAAAAATATATTTGTGTTTGCATTGTAGAAAAAAAAAAGCAATGGACAGTAAATGGCAGACCTTGTTACTCAAATCAAACTCAAAATGAAATGGATTCAGATAATAGAAAATAAATTGGAATTTCGTAAATTAAATATCACTAAATTCATAAAAATATTTCTTGAGTTGAAGTTGAGAATATGAGAAAACGATTGATTAAATTTGAAGCACAATAAATAAGTGACTAAACTAATTTTCTTTTCACAATTAAAAGTTCAATTATGATAAATTTTATTAAAACACTAATTATAGTATAAATAATAAACATTTGAGCTGAAAAGTAGTGTAAAATAATTTATACGTCACTATAAATCACCTTGATCGATCATGAATCTTGATTCATATTCATGCTGAAAAATTTCAAAATTAAATTTGGGAACATCTGAACTTTGATCTCAACAGACTTAAAGTCAAATCAAATATCTTGACAAAGTGAACCAAACAACACCAAAATTGGTCTAATCCAAGTTCAAATAGTCTCAAATCAAGGGCTCAAATCATATTTGAAAGTTTTAGGACATTAATTTGATAACTAAATGATTTTCAAATATGACATGCTTATCATCAAATCTAGCAGCTCGACAAAATGAATCGAACAAGCCCAAGATTGCTTTATTCTGGCATTTAAAAGCTGAAAAAATGCTCCTTGATCGGGGGAATTAGTATGGACCATCCAATGGAGCACTTCAAATTTATCCTTGATCTTCTCCATATTTACAGGGCATGCCACTCTCATAATTTTTAAATAGATCTCATGGCTCGGACATTTGGAAGTTTTGAAGCTGGGTTAAAGACTCAAGAAAGCTTTATGGTTTAAAAAATCTTGGAGCTCCACCCCATCACTATCGCTAGCGAATCCTCGAAACTAGTAGACGCTACTAGACCTTTGCCCAACCATCACCATTGGACCTCTGTTCGATAGCCACATCCTCCGACCATCATTGCCCGCCTACTACGGTCCTTCGACCATCGTCATTCAACTATGACATTTTTAACCTCTGTCACTCATCGACCACTGTCCTTTTAACTTCGGTATCCCGCTGAATGCTATCCCTCGAACCATCGTTACCCGACCACGATCCTTTCGACCATCGTTGTCTGCTGACTATGGTCCCTTCGACCACCCTTGTTCGACTACGGTCCTTCGACCTTCATCATCCACCAACTACAGTCTCTCTAACCACCGTTGTATGTTGACTTTAGTCCATCTGACCACGGTCGCTCGATTATAGCCCTTCTTACCACCACTGCTCGCTGATTAGTGTCCTTACGACCACCGTTGCTCATTGACTATGGTCCCTTTGACCAAGGTTGCTCGACTGCAGTCCTTGTAACCATTGTTGCTTGTTGACCACTATCCCTCTGATCATCATCACCAAACTACGGTCCTTCCATCCTCTGTCGCTTTATTAGGGGCAGAACCACATCGCTTGATTGGGGAAAATTTTTGAAAATTTGGAAAGTCGTCGATGCGAGTAGCCAAGGCTTTTTGAGATGATACGAGAGGTATCAAATTTCTTGCTTCTTTGTTCATTTACTGTTATGAAATCAGAGCTGTTAGGTTTTGCTAGAAAGATGGAGTTTTGATATGGAATTCTTTGTGGATTCCTTTTTTTATTTCCTTGATTAGATGAGCTTATTTGTGATTGTTTTTAGTTCCACTTCTTTGTAGATATGTTGCGGTGAATTTGGTACTTCCTACTTTTGTATTGTGTAGTTTTCTAGCATTGCGTGTTTAATTCCGTATTACTTTGTTCCATATTTGAAATTTTTTTAGCAATCGTTGAACTTGAGAAGCATCTTTGTTTTTCTTTCTAATTTTGGTTGAAAGATTTCTCCTTTTTCCTCACCATTTTAGTTTTGTAGACTCTTCGATGTGATTTCTCTAGAGACATTTGTTTTATTGTTGTTAGGTTTGATGCCGGATTGCAGGCTAGCTATTTGCTTTTTTATTAACTTGCTTCTATTTTCTGCAACTAATATTTTTAAGTAGCTTTTTTTTTTTTAATCTTGTATCTGGATATATTTTCCATTCTTATTGTTCTTCTATCAAGTTCCCCAGGATTCTGATGGAAACAAAGAGTTTGCACTATAAAATCTATGAATTGTTCTACAAATAAAACATTTATGGTTTTTATTGCCAACATTTTTTCTATTTGTTTCATCGTACTTTGGCTTCGTTTGGGACTGCTATCTTATTGCGTCTTAAGGTAACTTTATAGTACAAAAATTAAAAATTTTATACTAAAAAGGTGCTTTAAGAAGCTGTAAGAAAGCCGTCCCAAATAAAACCTTAGTGAATCATTTTACTGCTGATTTCCTATTGCTAGTGATTCTAAATGCATATAATCATTCGACCATGTTTTGGCTTTTTTGTTTGTGGAATAAGAGAGGTTAGGTTTAGTCGCTAGGGTAGATCGCGATTCTTGAATTTCGCACTTGTGGTTAAGAGCTCGATCTTCGTGATTTAGGCTGGCATCGATGCGATTTATGAGGGATACACAAGGTATATATCAAATGCTGGGACCATGGAGCTTAGGAAAGCTAATTGTCATATATTTTGAGGTGAAATGCAACACCTTCCGTCAAGGAAGGGCATCATTTGTAATCAACTACAAACACTAATGAAATCATTTCAAATGGTCAAGACCCCGTGATCTTTTCCCATTCTAAAAATTTTCACTTAAGAAATTTGATGTCTCTTATGCTTATTACACCTCTCTTTCTCTCTTATTTGTTTGTGTTGAATTTTTGTACAAAACAAAAATATTAAATTCCTTATCTCTCTGTTGCTATGAATGTTTTGGCACATAACAATACCAAATCATCAAAGTTCAGAAAATTTAAATTTTATTTTGGTGTGAGGAGATAACCTCTTTTCAATTTTACTAATCATGTTTGCATTGCACTCAAAGAACATTTGTATTTAGGTATTGTTTGATAATTTTTTTTTTTACTATTTTTAAAGTAATTTTTATATAATTTTCTTAAAGAAAGAAAAATTAGTATCTAAAAGGCAGCTATACCGAATGAGGCCATTGAAGGTGAAGAAGTTAATTCTCTGTTAAGCCTTGAAGGCATAAAAAACCATTGTTACAGAGTTTCTGCAACTGCAATCCTACCAAGCAAGTGAAGAAAACAATAAAGAGCTGCTTATATTAAAAACTATTTTAGAAAGCGGTAAGAAAGTCGTCCAAAATGAAGTCTAAGAGATCTTGATTTTAAAGCTTCATTTGGGACGGTTTTCTTACTGTTTTTTAGTACAAAAGTTTAACTTTTTATACTAAAAAATTGTTTAAGTAGTAAGAAAATCATCTCAAAAGAAGTCTAAATCTTGCAAATGTGATATTTGCTTGATGAAGGTGGTTGTTGATGTTGCAGGGATTGAAAATACACATAAAATCAGAAAAAGAGTTCATCAGAAGTTATTATATTCATCAGATTTTCTTAAATTAAAATCACAAGAGGGTATAACATAAATATACACGAAATAACAACTTTTATCTACTTGCAGGATTAGCTTTTATCTGGGGTATATTTTAATATAATCCTCGAGGTTGTAGCACTCTTCTCAACGCCCTTGCTTTCTTCATGGGCAAATTATTACGTCCGGTGTCCGGATTCGTTCGGACACCAATCCGATGCGCCTCCTCATCAAAATACAATGTGACCCAGTGTATTCGGGTGATGTGGCGCCTCTGAATTGAGTGTCCAAACGTCTGGTGACCGGACGTAATAATTTGCCTTCTTCTTGAGACTGCTACATGCTTCTTGAGGTGCTAACTAGCTTATCTAGGCTACGTGCTCAAATTTTAAAATTTATATTTTTAATGTGTGAGATATAAATATTCGAATTTAATTATTTGCATGATTATTCATCATTAGGATGCATATTCCTCTCTAATAAGAAAAATAATTAAAAAAAAATTAATTTAAGGGTTTTTTTAATTACCACACTGATTGACGGCGATTTTCGGCCAACTTTATATTTTTAAAGTGACAGTATTTTTTGTTTGTAGTCCCTTTTTGGTGTGTTAAGCAATTTTTTTATAATTTGATTTGTTAGTGTGTGGTAACAGTAAGCAAATTATTTATTTATTAAAATTATAACACCCATAATAATTTTTTAGTTTTTTTTTAAATCATAATAAGTTGTATTTCACGTGTGCAGGTTGAGGCTTTTGAAAATGGTCTGACCAATGAATTTAGAGTTGCTTGAGAGCCCAAAATAATTTAGCCCACTTGTGGAAGGCCCATTACATTCCAATAATAAGGTTTTAAAATGGGCCAGACCCGCAGGTTGATCGTGGGGTTTCTATTTTATATATTAGGAGTTTAGAATTGTATTATTCAAGTTATAAATTTCTTTTAATAAAATGAATTTTAGCCCTTAGATCAATGATTAACGATGATTATTTGCTCAAAATTTTAACTGGACAATTCCATAAAATTGGGTCAAGACTGACGGTTCACAGGTCGACACACCGGCGGTTCTTACCGATTTGAATTGATTTGATATATAATTGATTATTTAGCGGAACAATATAATACTGATCATATGGCTGATTCACAGTTGAAAATTAATGAGAACTTATGACAAATTATATGGCAACATAACCATACAATAAATGAAGTAATAGTTGAACTAGCTTAAAGCAATACAAGGTGAAATTTTGGTCCTCCCTCTGCTTAAGTTCTTTCCTACAAAGCCTTGGCGCTGTAAAAGTTTGTTGGGAGAAAAACAGAGAGTGGATCACCTCAACGCTCTAAATTCAGTACCCCACGTGTCCGCGCAGCACTCGCCCATGCCATTCCTCCTACTATCTAACTTAGGCCCTGACCATGCCTATACTGCGTGCGCTCGCCTGGACTCCTACACGACACCTTGAGAATAATGCCTAAATGGACAAATCAGCAAAATCTAAATTAAAATCTAAATTGGAGCAAAAACTAACACATACAATTTGGACATGAAATTGCTGTCGGGAGCAATATAAGAATATGCCATTATGTTATATTTATTAATTAATTTTTTAATATCCTTATATTTCAAATGAATAAATATAGTAATTGTTAAAAAATCATAAAAAATTATAATAAATTAAAATATATTTTTATTCTTATTTGACTTAATTTTGAGCCACAAATTAGATCATTGTTTTCTTAAAAGGTCTAAACATCCCAACACTAAACTCTCTTTTATTTTAATCTACATAAGTAAAAAAAAAAGTATTTTATAATAAAAATATGAACCAAAATAAAATTAAATTAAATTTCAAATACAAAAAAAATTATTGAAACTGAAATTAGAACTATAGCTAAGTTCTAAAAAATTTGATTAGAAATTGATCTTTTATATAATTAATTAGAGATTGTTCAACCAACAAAAATACCAAATGTGGAAAATAACTTTTCAACTACGAAGAATTCAATAAATTCATAGCCAATGGTTGACATAATTACTTCTCCTAAACAGATAATTGTCCTGATTTACTAATTTTTCAAAAACAATAAGGAAGATAATGAAAGGGATTACCTGTTAAAACTAAAACATTTGACTATTTTTTTGTTAGTAGGTGCACCGGTTAACATTCCACCTCATTCTCTAACGATTTTATTTTTTTCCTGTTGGAATAAATTGGCTTCAAAGACTAACCAAATGATGCTCATAAAAATGAAGATGATAATTTGGAACTAGAAAATAAACACTATAAAAAATTTGTGGTATTAGCGGCACTTCATAGCAGCGGTTTAGCGGTTTATAAACTGCTGCTATAGATAAGTATAGACAGCGGTTTTTACCGCTCATAAATTTATTATTAAAAATTGATATTTTTGACAACATTCAATAGCAACATTTTCAAAACAAGAAATTCGATTTTAACCCTTGCTAAAAGCACTGCTAAAGCCTTCCTACAACAGTACTCATGAACCGTTGTTAAAGCCTTTGCAGCGAACGTAAATACAATGGATTTGCAGTGGTTTATAAATCTCTACAAATAAATTAGTAGGTATTTAAACCACTACAGTAGGCTATCAAAAGTGCTATAAAAGCCTGATTTAGTAGTAGTGAAATGATTTGGTAATCCATATACAGTTATAGAATGCAAGACATTCATGATATTTGCTCTCTCGTGTTCCACTAGGAGCGATTATTATGTGCGGCATCCGAATCGTCCGGAGGTGAATCCGGACGCGCCACGTGCATCCCGGGCCCCGGGAGACGTGGTGCGTCCGAATTTACCTCCGGACATAATAATTTTTCTTCCACTAGATTGTTCATATTTCTCTCTCCAATCTCTTCATTGCTTTCACTTATCTCTTTCTTTATCATGAAAGTATCAATATCACAGTCATATATATCATATCATTGCTCTTTCAATCCTCTATCTCTATGAAAACTAAGGGCACCCTCGTACTTTGGTCGCTGTCCTCCCATAAGTAGAAGTTGTGATGAGATTTAACCATTCAACGTACTCTTTGATTTGATCTTCTTTTATAAAGCATCATGCGGTATTCTGCATGGAGATTAGAAAAGCTCAGAATTTTATCTTGAATTTCATAGCCATCGATCAAGTCCGAAAATCAAAATTTGATCTTTAGTAACGTTACCTCAATTTAACGGTAAACTAAAGACCAGTTTGGATTTTTTCTTTTTTAAAGAATATGATTGTTCCAAAAAGATCGCTTTTTGGTTTCTTGAATTCAGCCAAACCCAGCTATATAAAGTACGATCTTATCCAAATTGGCTGGAGATGGAACTGGATAAGGTATGATAGATATAAAGCTCCTGGAACTTCATAATCGTATAATTCCTCAACTTAAATATCATAGATTTATTTCCCAGATTATAATAATCACTTGATCGGTGATTAGTCCAAATCAGATGATAATCTCCGTTTCATGTTCAAAGGGAAACCGAGCTGTAGAAGCATTTTGATTTTCTTTTATGATGTTTTTTGCTGCAAGGATTCAATCTTTATATATAATCAATTAAATATGGTTATCCAAAATTTGTTTATGCCTGCTAAGTAAGGCTTCGTTTGGGACAACTTTTCTACTGCTTCTTAAAAGAACTTTTTAGTACAAAAATTAAAATCTTTGTACTAGAAAGCTGCTTTAAGAAGCACGAAGAAAACCGTTCCAAACAAATCCTAATCTTTACTTCACATATAGGCTCCGTTTGGATCACTTTTTTAAAGCAACTTTTTGGTATAAAAATTTTTAATTTAAAATTTTTTATATTAAGAAGCTGTTTTAAAAAACAGCAAGAAAACTATTCTAAAAGAAGTCATAGTTTTAATGATAACCAAAATAGTATTGATACGTGCATAATCTTAAGAGTAAAATAAAAAATAAATAATTTTTTTAGAAATTTGAGCAAATATATAAATGAGGATAAAATAATTAAAATATTTATTCTATTATGGAGTAAAAAAATTTTGAATGGACAATTACCAGCACTAATCTCTTTCTTGCATAATAGTCTGCAGCTCATTAATGTGGCTGAAAATTTTCAGCAAATGTTACATTTTAGTTTGATACGAAACTTGAATTCAAATTAAAAATATTATTTAATTAGTTGGAAACTGTCATGCAAAAAGTAATTGCATATCTAACAACATAAACATTCTAAAAATCAGTACTGAATTTCTTTATGCAATTTTTTTTTTTTAGAAAAACAACATTAATTTTAGAGAGATTTGCCTATATATTTAGATGTCTAACAACTAAATCCTTATAAATAAATATAAATAGTGTTATTTATAAAAATATATATATTAGATATATAAATACAAAAAAATGAAAATTATATCCATATATTCCAAAATTTATAATAAAATAAAATTATGATAGCAATAGGCAACATAGAACCAGGAAAAATTATCTCAAACCCTTAGCTAAAATAAAAAAAATGCTCATTAAGCACATAAAAGTCCATTTAGTTATAAAACTATTCTATATATTAAAAAAAATAAAAACTTAGTTGTTCAAAACTATTAAATATTATAATTTTTTTTTTAGTAAAAAAGTCAAACAATTTTATAATTTTCTTACAACTTCCATACATCATTATGAAAAATTTATTGTCATCACAAAAATTACTAAAATTCAACTTAAAATTTTTAGCCAAAAAAAAAAAAAAAATCATTGTCATCAAGAAAAGAATACATTCATCCATTTCACACAAAGAGTTTGTTCACATAGCTTAAAATTTACAAACACATTCAAAGCATAATCATTCATATAAATTAGTCAAAACTATTACCAAATAAGAAGCACAACAAATGCAATGACTACCCACCAAAGCGCGAGCTGCCGGCGGCGGCGGCGTCGCCGCCTTAGTCGGCCTCTGCGACATCAACACTCATAGTACAAGTAAGCAGCCGACGGAAAATCGTGTAGAAAACTGAGCACCCTTTCTTCTTCTTATTACAGCTCCTACATGTAATAAAACTGCTAAAGCTTCCACCACTATCCTTCCTTTGATGATGTAAGAAGGGAAAGTCGGTGGCTTTCTCCTTCACCTTCCCAAAACACTTTACTGTCTTCTCCGGCATCGTCTCCTTCTTCGAGAAAGTATAGCTCCGCAGATACATCTGCCGGGAAGAGTAGCTGTCGACAAGTCTGTGGCTTGGCTCCATAACTGCTCTGCTGTTGGGAAATGGGGCGGAGCCGGCGCCGGCGGTGGCGACGGAACGGACGAATTCGGCGTCGGATTCAGCCCATTTGTAGAGATTGACGTAAGATGAACGGAGGGGAAGGCGAGAGTCGACGACGCAGCCGACGGCGGATTTGCATACTGAGCTCATTGGACGGCGGCGGAGCGGAGGAGGTAGGAAGGGGAGATGAGAGAGGGGAATTAGGGAAGGGAAAAATAGGATTTTTGGGTTTTTATTGCAGTTTGTTTAGGGGTTGATGAAAGAGGCTTGTGGGAGAATGATGTGTTATCATTGTTCATGAGTGAGAGTGATTGATGACTATGAATATTTTCTTCTAGTCGTTTTGAAAAACTGGATTATATGTCCAAAAATAAAAAATAAAAACTGGATTATAAAGAAAAAGGTTCAAATTTTTTTAGATTCAACGGCAGTGGATGGGATGTTATAATAAATATTAAATTATTTTAATATAATTTAAATAACACAATAATAATATATATTTTTTTCCCAACAATCACCTTATGGTAGATATAATAATAATTGACATATCATTGAAGAATTTTCTTGACCGGGCACGAATATCGAAACAAAATAATGTTGAAAATTTTAAAAATTAAATTGGAGATCATCTGAATTCCGATTTCAGCAAAATTATAGTCGCACTGAGCATCTCTAAAATAGGAACCCAACGACACCAAATTCGACTCAATCCGAGCCAAATGAGTCCAAATCAAAGACCAGAAGTGCATTTGGAAGATTCAAATCATAATTTGAAGCACAAAACGGTATTCAAACTTGATATGCTTATAGTTGAATTGAGTGACTCGACGAGATGGATTCAACGAGCCCAAGATCGCCGAATTCTGATATCATTAAGATATTTAAATGTCTAGTAAACAGTACATGATCAAGGGAATCAACATCGGTTGTCCAATCAAACCACTCCCAGTTTACCCATGATCTTCCTCATATTTACTGTTCATGTCACTATTAGAAAACTATAAATAGACCCCTCATTTCTCATGAGGGGGGACCCCAAGCAAGGAGGTAAGAAGGAAAGTAAGAAAGAAAGAGAAGGAAGAGTGATCTTTTGCCACAAGGCTCCTCCTTGACCAACACCAGACTTCCACCCGTCAGTCGACCAACGTCGAAGTTCTGTCCGATCGTCGTCTGACACCAGAGTTCTATTTGAAGGTCGACTGACGCCAGATTTCAACCTGACTGTTGATTATTGTAATATGATCGTTCTCAATTTCGGGGACGAGACAATCACTTGTAATCCAATCAAACACTAGTTGAATCATTTCAACTGGGCGTAGCCCCGTGATTTTTCCCTTTTCAAGGTTTTCATTGTTTTCCATGTAAAATTTTGATGTTCATTTTTTCTTCTGTTTGTGTGCTAGATATCTATACAATGCTAAGACAAAAATTTCTAATTCTATCACTGCGTATATTCTAGCCCCCATCAATAATATTTTTAGTAATTTAAAGTATAATATTTTAAATCTGGATACTTCATCATTTGCAAGAGGTTGTACCATAGTGTACATTTTTTGTTGATGATATTTTTCTTGATAAGATTAGAGAGGGGGTTAAAGGTAAACTTGATAAGTTCACTTCATAATTCAAGTTTACCCTATAGTCTAAAGGTTTTCAGTTGAGTATATCTAAAATTGAATATATTGAGTGCAATTTAAATGGTAATAGATCTAATAGGGCGATTGTGACTTTGGCAATCTAGTCATTAATAAGAATACTCATTTTAGATATCTTGAGTTTTTTGTTCAGAGTGATGGTGAAGTAGATGGGGATATTATTAATTGAATTCAAGTTGGATGATTGAATGCATCGAGCTTGTTGTGTGATAGAAATGTCTTTCTCAAACTTAAGAGAAAATTTTATAAAATTGTGGTGAGACTCGCAATACTTTATGGTGAAGAATATTGGCTATTAAAAGAGAAGTACAATATTAAATTAAGTGGCGTAGAGAAGAAGATGCTGACATGGATGAGTAGCTTTACTCTTAGAGCCAGGATATCAAATGAGCATATACATGAAAAGGTTGATGTAACTCCAATGGAATATAAGATTAGATAAAGTCACCTTAGATGATTTGATCACGTAAAATGATGGCCTTCCGATGACCCGGTTATGAGAGTAGAGATGTATTATATTTAGCTTATATTAAGTAAGATAGAGGTAGACCTAAAATGACTTGGTTAAAAAATATTAGAAATGACCTTACTTTATTTATATTTAAATGATAATTTGATTCTTAAAAAGATATGGTAGGATAAGGCTTGATGTTATTATATACTTCATCATTAAATATTTGTAATATATTAAATACTTTAAAAATTCAATAAGATATAAATCAGCTATGTGTCAAATTTATTGGTGCATTTAAATATTAAATTATAAATATTTGATCAAAATTAAAATGTTAGAAATTATTCTATATTAGAATCGATTGGCTAAATTTAAAATAAATATTTTTTATTTCCTCATTTTAATTTTATTTATTTCCTAATTAATGTTTATGTAATATTAATTTAAAAATATTATAATGAAATTTTAATGAAATTATTTTGACATAATTTTTTTATTTAAAATAATAGAGGAAGTGGAGAAGAAGAAAGTTAGAGTTTCAGGAGGAATTTTGACCCAATTAGAAACAAAAGCTTCAGTTGGGTTTTATTGTTTTATAAAATATATTTTTAGTACAAAATGTTTTTGAATTAAAAATTTTATAAGAAAGTCCCAAATTAAGCTTAAGGTTTCATTTATGACCGCTTTCTTACTACGTCTTAAAGCAATTTTTTAGTAAAACTTTAAAATTTGTATGCTAGATAACTATTCAAAAAAGTGGTAAAAAAAGTCACAAACAAAGCCTAAAGCTTCATTTAGGACAACTTTTTGTCACTGATTTTAGCCTATTTCTGATAAATTTTTTTACTAAAATAACTAAGTAAAAAATTATCCCAATTTAAATTAACTCACACAAATATCATAGGCATAAGCTTATAATCTAAATTTTTTAAAATGATAGCTCCCAACAACAACAAAATTATTATGTGCGGACAACAAACGTGATTCCGAGACAAATCAAAACTCGCTACATCAACTTTTTGTTGTATACCATTGTATGATGTGTTCACTATAATCTCTCTTCAACGAACAATTATTACGTCCTCTGACCGGACGCAGAGGAACATCCGGTCGGAGGCCAAATCGCGCAAAAAACGAGAAATACCGAGCAAATATCAAACAATAACGAGGAATACCATCACGTGAAGACCCAATACTGAGTTATACCGAGCAATACCGAGTTATACAAAGTTGTACCGAGTTTTCCTAGAAAAAACTCGGTATTGCTCGGTAGCTCGGTATAACTCGGTATTGGTCTTCATAGAACGGTATTCCTCGTTATTATCAAATAATACATAGCAATATCGATCAAATATCGAGTTTTTTGGCAGAATTTTACCTCCGACCGGACGTTCATCTACGTCCTTACACCGGACCTAATAAAAGTTACTCTTCAACAACCTACATAGAGCTACCTAAAAAAGTGTACGGTTACCTCCAAGTCTTGGATGGGACCCATGCAGAAAATGAAATACACAAAACCCGAAAAGATGGCCGCTTTTCCACGTGTTAACGTTCGATTGGAACACTTGTCAAACATGTATTGTTGGATAGAGAGAGTTTGGACCGTTGGAGATGGTAAACCAAATTTAAGAATGTTTTTTAATATTGTAATTATAATACTCAGACGAACACTTATTAAAATCCATAAAAAAGATTTCTTACAGGTTGAAAAACCTGCAATGACACTTATTAAAATAAAATTTATATTAAGCACTTTTAGCTGATTTTGGTTTAGGCTGTCAATTCGGGTTGTCGGGTCAAGTTCGGGTCTAGCCCGAACTGATCCGAAGATAAACTGACCGACCTGAATCTGAACCTGACCCATTTCTTTAACGGGTTGACCTGAACCTGACTTTTTGGATCGGATTTTCGGGTCGGGTCAATTGTTGACAGCCCTAATTTTGGTTGGTGGGATTTACTTTTAATTAAAATTGATTAAATAGCTGTGGCCATAAAATAATTTTATTAAACATTTTCGAAGCTCCATTTAAAAAGTAAAATCTATGCAGCTGCTTCACGCCAAATTTCACCTGCTACAAATTTGATAAAACATCTTATCAAATGAGCCCACAAAATAGCTACGAAGACTTCAAAAAAAATTAAACATATATTTTTTTTTTTGTTCAATAAAAAACTTTAATTAAAATTCAAAAATAAATGAGATTAGAGACATCAAGAATGAATTAAGAAGTAATTTTATTGACTGTATTTAAAGAGTAAATTAAAGAGTTCTATTTTATTTTTTTTTCAAATTCAATATATTTTAAAATCGCATTCCAAAATCACCATCTCATACATTTTGAGAGTATTTGAAATTTGCTTGTTTTGAATAAATTCTAAAATATAACTTAGATAAATTTATTATTGGTTGGTTGAAACAACCCGCCGGCCTCTCATATCGGCTATTGCTTACCACCTAAACTGCCTACCATTGACCACCGATGCCACCATTCGCTACATCTTCATTCGATGACATCACCTATTATTTCAAATTTTATTTGAAACATTTAGGTCAATTAAGGCAAACTCGCACACACATCACATATACAAGACTCAAATCCAAAATCTCTTAAAAAAAAAAACTTAAAATCTACTTTTCATAACAACTTACTTTCTCTTTAATAATTTTATAAAACAATATAAAAACTGTCGCAAACAAAATCATAATCTAACTATAATAACTTAAGAAAATGACAACAATAATAAATCTAATAATCCTCTCAAGTCAAATATTATAAATGATGACAATCACAATCAACACAAAATTTTCAAATGATACCATATAGATGATAACTCTTTAACCATAATGCAAAACTTGCATGAAAGAAGAATGGAAGAGGAAGAAATGGCCATCAAGTTAAGATACTTCTTATAAGACACAGTGTGGTAGCTTTCAAACAAACAAATGCTTATTATTTTCCACCATATTATCACAGAGTAAATAAATACCTGACAAACAAAATATGCTTCACTAAATAAAGACAGAACATAGAATATCTTTTGAATAATATGAATTTGCTTTAAAGAGTTAATTTAGGCTTCATTTGAGATGATTTTCTTACTACTTCTTAAAGCAATTTTCTAATAAAAAATTAAAATTTTTAACTAAAAAATTGCTTTAAATAGTAAGAATGTCGTCCTTGAAAAAAAAAAAAAACTTTGTCAGTACTTGAAAG